TTAATACTGTTTAATTAAAAACAGACCATTTACTCGAATATGTTGTTAAGGTGTATCCATAAAAATAACGTATAAACAGAATATATATATATATATATATTTGTGTATTCATTTTTTGATGTAATTATTATTTTTTTTTGTTTAGGAATTATTTTTGTATTTATTAGGTTTGCCAGAATGCCTTGTCTCACTTAGGAATCAGAAAGAAAAATCTTGATCTCAGCCAGGTGGAATCTCCAAGAATTCCTGCATTTCGAACTTGTTCCACACGGTGGCGTCATCAACGCTAATCTTTATTGCCAGTGGCTAATCCGCGTGTACGACAAACTAAAGAAGGTATATCCTGCTTTGGTCAATAAAGGTTGGGCTTTTGTGTCAGCAAGACAATGTGAGGCCACACACCGCTAGGTTGACTAAAGAGAAGTTTAAACAGATGGATAGTATTGAGATTCTTGCACATCTACCATACAGTCCCGATGCTGCTCAGTGACAATGGCCTATTCCGATCAATGACACACTTCTTCCACGACCAGCGATTCAACATTTTTCATGAAGTGAAGGAAACTTGTTTACAGTTTATTTTATTTTTTTTATTCAAAGCCAGTGGACTGGTATCTGGGACAGATTCTGATGCTGGAAGAAGATCATCGAGAATGATGGACTTTATTTTGAAGAATAAATATTGATATTGCTGCATAAAAAAGTGTTGATTTCTTTCCGCTTCATAAGCGAGTTTGGACATCGTGGCCAACAGAACATTTTAAATAACAGATAGTCTTGGATTCACCGTTTTCTTTTAAAGCTTAACCTTTCCCGCCACTTTTACCTTTCCCGCCACTTTTTCCTTTCCCGCCACTTTTTCCTTTCCCGCCACTTTTAGCCTTAAGAATATTTTAGAGCGTTCATAGATTTAAACATTTTGAGAACGTTAAGATTTTTTACTTCTGATTATCGATATATGTCGCAAAATAAAATTTTTATAATTACCTATATATATATAAATTAAAAATTACCTATATATGTAAATTTAATATATATATAATTACCTATATACATTATTCGGACTATTGTCCTCATCTTTGTCGCCATATTTATCACAACGTTTCGGCCTTCTTCAGGTGATTGGAATTTCGAACTGAACCTTTTGCTCACTGAGGTAGACTGTTCTAGTTCCACGTGCCATGTTTGATGGATGTCAGTTATCAGTTATCTCCTGCTAATTTCCCTCTGAAAGTTCTCCACTTCCTTAACCGGGTATTATGGAGGTTCTCGGACTTGGTGAATATTGTACTTGGCCAAAAACTGCAATACAGTTTCCTTCAAAGTACTATTATATACTGTCCTATATATATATATATATATATATATATATATATATATATATATATATATATATATATATATATATATATATATATATTTATTTATTTATTTATTTTCGTTTCCTGAACATTCGAAGTTTGTCATTAAAGAAAAATATATACTCTCCGGTAGAACTCGAACCTGCGTCCCTTTGGGCAGAAGGTAACCGTCGTTAGATCCTACGTATCTTAACCGATTCGGCCAAGGAGCAGCCTTGCTGATCATGCAAGGTCACAACTTCACCTTTAATCGAAATCTTTCTCAACATAAATTCTTCAGTTTCATATCCAAACGTAAACAAAGTAATTTTCTAAAGAAGGAATGGATATTTGCCGCTGTAAACGTTACTTTTTAGCGGATACACATATTTGAATAGACGCCCCGTTTATTTATTAAACAGCATATTTATTTCCATCTGTTGGACTGAATATTCGAGAAATATTAATAAACTTGTTGAAGAACATATATATATATATATATATATATATATATAAACGAGAGAAAGAAGAGATGTGGTAAACATCCACTCTTAATAGCATTTATTTTTAAAATGTGCTCAATACAGATAGAGCAATATATTATTATTATTATTTTTATTATAAGAGATTATAATCAAGACATGATGAAATCGTTACACAAAAGCTTTCATGTTTCAATACTTTGATTGTACTTCTTCAGGCGATGATAAGTAACTGGTGATTAAAAATAGACTTTTCATTCTGACCTTATGTTTTCCCACCCAACATTTACTTCTGGAAAAAGCAGTAACACTTTGCTTTTTGAAATTTTCTTCATCTCTTGGAAATAGATGTAACACCTTGCTTTTGAAATTTTCTTTATCGTTTAGAAAAACAGGTAACACTTTGCTTTTGAAATTTTCTTTTGTGTAGCGATTTCAATATATTTCTATTATAATCTTATAATAAAAAAATTATATATATATATATATATATATATATATATATATATATATATATATATATATATAACAAAGTGGAAATATGTATATATATATTATATTTGGTTGGATTGATGTGAGTTTGTGACCCTGGGTTTCACGCTTGCGATCGTCAGACAAACTGATTATTCCCCCACTTCCATAATAACACCAATACACGCAATCTACATAAACCCAAAT